TAATCAAGTGTTTGCTTGGGACATACATATTAGGTATAGGTATCTATTAGACAGATGTCCAATTGGAGTGAGCTGTCAAATAAATACTAGATAAGTTAGTCTAGAGTTGAGAGTAGAGCTCAGAGATGGAGATTTAAATTTATATTTGGAAGTCAACAATTGAGTTGATATTTGAGGGAATGGGATTAGATGAAATCACCTAAATGGTTAGTATAGACAAAGAAGAAAGACACAAAGAGTGAGCCTCACTGTAACTGATTCGTAGCACTAAAGATCCCAGATTGTCATCCCTTCTGCTATACACAGTCTTTACCATGTGTTTTGTAGGACCCTTCCATCCTATCTCTGGGCTTAGAGCTGCAACTTGCTTTGACATAGCCAAGTGATGCAAGCAGAGGGTCGTACATTTCTGCTCATGCTCCTTCTACTTTACCCTTACCATGAGAAGATATGCCTGGGCTAGCCCCTCTGACCCTAGAAGGGCGATGGTAGATACAGGGTCAGCCACAGGTGCATGAGTGAGCCCAGCTGAGTGCAGTCTTAGAGATCAATTAAACCCCACAGGTAAGTGAGCTCTAAGTGTTTATTGATGATTGACTCTGAGTTTTAGAATGGTATTCAATCAGCATTATTGTAGCAACACATAATTGATACATGAAGAATACTGTAGTATTTAGAGATCTGGACAAGAAGGAAGATTCACAAAGGATACTGAAGAAACCACACTGAGGAAAATCAAGACAAATAGGGTTCAGAAACCCAGGAGGTGAAAATGGTTCAAGAAGAGGGAAGTGATCCACTGTGACAAATTCTACTGAGAGTTCATGTAAGATGAAGGCTGAGGACGGATTATTTGGCAAACAGATTTTGTTATTTCCTTCATTAAAAGTGTTGGAAGAACCTAATTCAAGTAAACTCTAGAGAAAAGGGTAGGTGAGCAAGTTAAGATAATTAAGAATAGTGATTTTTGCTCTAAAGGGCAGTGGAGAAATGGGCTCATGCTTGGAAGGGAATGTGAGTCCACAAAAATTTTTTTAGATGGTTCTATTTTGTTTTAGATGGTTCTATTATTGACTGTTTATATGTAGATAGAAATCATTTAATTCAAGGAGGGAATAAAAGAGATGACACAGAAGAAAACAGAGACAATTATTATAGAATAACCGAAACTTTGAGTAGGCAAACTGGAATAAGATTCAATAAACAGGAGATGGGCTTGCCATTAGGTAGGAGAATGAGCAATTTGCCCATAGCTACAGGTCTGAAGGCAAAGTATAGCAGGAGTTAAATGAAGGTATGTTGGTAGACTCACTAGTAAAACAATGAAGTTTCTTTTATAGTGCTTTTTTTTTTTTAATTAAAGAATTAAGAAGTAAAGTTGTCAGCTGAGAGTGAGGAAGCAGTATGAGGTAGACAGAATTCTCAGATGATCCCCAGTGAGGCTTACTCTTGTATAATACTCTCTTCTTTGAGCATGGGTAGAACCAGTAATATGAGATACTGCTCCTGTCATTCTCTTGTTACAGGGCGAAAAGGAGATTGTCCGGAGTGGACCCTGACCTAATGTAGTTAGCTCTTCACAAGCAGAATTTTTTTTCCTCCCCATTTTGTCATAGAAGAGAAAATTAGAGTGATGTATGCTGGCTGATCTCTAAGAAAATAAGCATTCATGTCATGAGCTGCCTATGTTGGCCACATGGTAACACACTGTGTATGGCCTCTAGAAGCTAAAAGTGGTCCCTGGTCAATAGACAGAACTAAAATGTGAACCTCCATCTTACATCTGCAAGGAAATTAATTCTGCCAACACCAGTGACCTTGAAAGATGCCCTCAGTTTCACATGAGAACCGCAGCCCTGGCCAACACCCTAATATCAGTTCAGTAAGATCCTGACCAGCGAACTCAGCCAGGCCATACCTGGGTTTTTAACTACAAAAACTGTGAGATAATAAATGTGTGTTGTTTTAAGTCTCTAGAGTTGTGGTAATTTGTTACTTAATCATAGAAAAACTAATACAGGGTGTCAGAGGTATGAGTACAAAGAAAAGCGGATCTCAGAGAAAGGAGAAAAAGCTGACTGAAGAATATGGAGAATACCGGGCAGGATGGGGAACCCATTCAGTTTGCAGTTGAAAATTTAAAGTGAGATTTGTTAGAATTGGGAACTTAGATAAAGACACAGAATAGGTTAGGAGTTAGATTTAACTCGGATAGCAGATTAGCCAGCTGCACACATGTAAGGAGAAGGAGGCAAGGGAGAGAAAGTTATATGCAAAATAATGATGATTATGTTAGACCAAGTTATTTAAACAGATAGCAGGGAAGTAAGGACAAGACAGGGTAATATGCAGTGAAAACTTATGTTCCACCGGTTGAACATCTCAGTGAGGCTTTAAGATTCATAAGAGAACGTCAGAGCGGCGCCGGCCTCGGTGGCTGAGGAAAGCAGGAGGTGGTGGTGGCGGCGGGAAGACGCTGCTCTTTGGCGTAAATTGCAATCGATTAGGGATCGTTTCTCAGAATCAAGTTAGAAGTGAGAGTTCAGATAAGTGAGGCCGCCATTGCTGCTTTGAACGCCTCAGAAGGGGAGAATGGATTTATCAGGAGTGAAAAAGAAGAGCTTGCTAGGAGTCAAAGAAAATAAAAAGTCCAGCACTAGGGCTCCTTCACCTACCAAACGCAAAGACCGTTCAGATGAGAGGTCCGAGGATCGCTCAAAAGATAAAGGGGCCACCAAGGAGTCGAGTGAGAAGGATCGCGGCCGGGACAAAACCCGGAAGAGGCGCAGCGCTTCCGGTGGCAGCAGCAGTACCAGATCTCGGTCCAGCTCCGCTTCCAGTTCAGGCTCCTGCACCAGCACTGGCTCAAGCAGTGGCTCCAGCTCTTCCTCAGCATCCAGCCGCTCAGGAAGCTCCAGCACCTCCCGCAGCTCCAGCTCCAGCAGCTCTTCCGGCTCTCCAAGTCCTTCTCGGCGCAGACAAGACAACCGGAGGCGCTCCCGCTCCAAAACCAAACCACCTGAAAGAGATGAAAAGGAGAGGAAAAGGCGGAGCCCATCTCCTAAGCCCACCAAAGTGCATATTGGGAGACTCACCAGGAATGTGACAAAGGATCACATCATGGAGATATTTTCCACCTATGGGAAAATTAAAATGATTGACATGCCCGTGGAAAGGATGCATCCCCATCTGTCCAAAGGCTATGCATACGTAGAGTTTGAGAATCCAGATGAAGCTGACAAGGCGCTGAAGCACATGGATGGAGGACAAATCGATGGTCAGGAGATCACTGCCACTGCCGTGCTGGCCCCCTGGCCTAGGCCACCCCTCAGGAGATTCAGCCCTCCCAGGAGAATGTTGCCACCACCGCCCACGTGGCGCAGGTCTCCCCCACGGATGAGGAGAAAGTCCCGCTCCCCGAGGCGCAGGTCCCGCGTGCGCCGGAGATGATGCTCCCCGGGCCGCCGCCGCCACAGGAGCCGCTCCAGTTCCAACTCCTCCGGATAAACAGGCCACTGAAGCTCTCGCCCCTGTAACTTATACGCCACCCAGCTCAGTTTTATCACTTTTCTAGCCAAAGGAAGATCAGTAGGAAAGCAAACCCTTCACTCGGGCGGAATTTGCAGGCAGCAGTCAGCACCCCTCTGCCGGCCGGGCTCTGGCTGCAGAAGTGCTTTTGGTTTGGGTGTTGTGTGCCTGTCAAGATTCCCTCCGGTTTTCTGGCTAGAAAGCTCACCCGTTTGCAGTTTCTAAGAGTCAGTTCAGTGGCAGGACCACCAGGGACAAGTGAGGCTCTGGGGGTGGTGTGACCCTGCCTGCCTGGGAGCACACTTTTCCCTTCCCTGGTGACCTGAGATGGTGGCCAGGCCGTGCCCTTCCTGTTGCTGGGCAGTGTCCTTTTGGAAAGGGAGCCGTCCCAGTTGCCAACTCTGTTAGGCCCGGCCTCTCGAGGCCTCTTGCGACTTCAAGAGTCACACCCCCCCCCCAAAGATTCTTTCACCCATGGTAGTTTCTGTGCACGGTTCTGTCTGTCCGTGCATCCATGCACACATCCCACCCCACCACCCTACTCTGAAATTGGCGAGTGAGAGCCAGCCCTGCGGGATCATCACGCAACCATGGTCGTGCCTGACCTTCATGGTGGTCTTTCAGGTTATCTTGGCAACATGTACATTGCTTTTTTTTTTTTTTTTTGCTTTTCTTGTACAGTCAGTACTATAAAATTTCTCTTTGAGTTTTATACTTTTGTAGCGTTTTAGATGACATTGTGTTTGTACTTTGTTGTGTAGAGTGGAAGAATTGTGTTGAATAAACCCAAGATTGAAAAAAAAAAAAAGATTCATAAGAAGTGGATACTCATGGGAGTAAGCTGAAAAGATAGGAGGCTGCAATTATGAATTCTTGGCCCTTAGATTTTATTTTGATAAGATCCTTTGTCCATTATGCATCACTTACATGAGTTTTGACCTAAGTATGCACTACTTGGACTTCAGGGCTCTTGAACCTCCCCTATCTGAGTGGTGTTGCACCATTTAGGAGTCCGTTCCCCCAACTCAGGGGCATAGTCCTCTTGAATACAGAAGCCGTCTTTCAGGAAAAATTTGGCTATTAGTCACACGTACCTTACTGTGAGTGTTAGCAATTCAAATATTATCCATAATTTTGAAATAAAAACTTTTGTCTTTGATAAAGAAAATGTAGATCTCGGAAATTCCGAAGAAAAAGATATTTTTGTTTTCTAAAAACTGGAGGACTTTTGAGATGCCTCGAATACAGGAGCGGGCACACTAGGGCCTCTGGGCCAAATCTGTCTCACCACCTGTTTTCGTAAATAAAATTTTATTGGAACACAGCCACACCAATTTGTTTACATATTGTCCAAAGCTGCTTTTGCACTACAACGGCAGAGTTGAGTAGTTACAATAAAGACTATATGACATGCAAAGACTAAGGTATTTACAAACAAGTTTCTTTCCAGAAAATGTTGCTGACCTCTGCCCTAATATCACCTCACATATGCCAGTGGAGTTTTATCCTTCTTTCTCAGCATCTGTGTTACAAATTCTTAGAAGTAGAAAAATAGAAAGTTGGGAAAATAACAACAAAAAAAACTGAAAGGGGTACTATAAAGATACTACGGGTTTTTGCCTGTAACTTTGGAAAAGGTGAGAGAAACTAAAGCAGTTCATGTAGGTGTCTGAACAGTGATACTCTTTCCTCTGTGCAGTGTTTTATGAGAAGAGAAGGAATTGAGGTTTGTGCAAGAAAGGGTAATGTAATCAGAACACTCTGGTATGTTCTGGCACGCCTTTATAATCTGGGATACTGCTCAGATTTCTTAACCTGTTGTGTCAGGTGTTTTTTTTTTTTTTTTTTTAAAAAAGACATTCATTTATTCTTGGGTACCCAGACAGTGGCAGTATAGTTCATTTGTACTTCTACCATATAAACCTAATTATTTCCTGTATCTGTTGAAGGATGGGTTGTGGATTGAAAGGCAAGGTGAGCCAATATTATGCTTCCTACAACAAGCAAATAAACACTAGAGAGACACTCTCCTTCACCTTGTCTGAGGCCAGCAAAAACGATGCAAAACAACTTCAAAGCCACATCACAAAAGAATTCCAAGGGACCTCATCTTTCTTAAAGCAAAGCAAAGTATAGAGGTATGTACACAATTATTGTTAATGTGACTTTTCTCCCTTTTTCTGAATCAATCTTACTAGCATTTTTAAAAAAATACGTATTTTACAAATATTCAAAGAAACATCTTTTAGTTTTAATAATTATTTTATTGGTTTTTATTTGGCTGTTTTTTACTTTTTGAATTTTTTTATCTGAAATGTTATGGACTCTTTCTTCAACGTTGAGCTTACTCTGCTCTTTCTTTGAATTCATTGTGAGTATCCTGTTGAGTTTACATAGCAGATGGCCAATTTTTATGAATGTTCTAAGTAGACTTGAAAACAATTGTATAGTCTCTATTCATTGATTACAGTGTAAGAAAAATTAACAGTTTTGATTACATATTTATCAGTTGTGGTTTGAAAGTTAATCACTATGTTTCAACTATTTTAATGCTTCTCCTTACATTTTAACATGTACGCTTAAGTCCAAAGTCATTCATTCCCATTCTATTCTTCCCCCAAATAATGTCAAACCCTTAAATATTTAACTCCAATACCCCTCTTTCATCTTTAGTGTTTTGTATAGCATTTCAATTTCTTCCTGTTTTCTGAACTTCACAGAACTAACTTTTGTTTCACAGACAAAGATAGAAGCTTCTTTTTTCTTCTGTAGTCTTTTATTCTGTTGGGAATAATTGAAAATTTTCTGAGCCTCTCTTTTCTCTTTTATCCTCATATTTAATCAATCACTCTTGATTCAATTTCTTTATATCTCTTGAATATATTTTCTTTTTCTCCACTGTCATTTTACTCTCTTTCACAGAAGTAAAGACTACCATTATTTCTAGCCCAGAGCACAGTAGGGGCACTTAATTGCCACCAGTATGCACATTTCTAACCCATTGTACCCATGCAGCAGCCAGAATGGTGCTTCATAACACAAACATGACCTCTTGCCTAAAATCATTCAGAGGTGCCCATTGCTTTTAGAAAAATCTAAATTCCTTAACATGTCTTAACATGCTGTTATCTCCATTTCTACAGCCTTGTTTCCATCCACTTCTTCTCATGTTCATTCTGTTTCCAGTTGCTCTGAGTATCTTTCAACTTCTTGAACACAGCAGGATCTTTCATCTCTGGGCTGCTACGTGAGTATTCCCTTCTAACTGGAGCTCTCTTGTCTGCTTTGGCTTGGCTAATTTTTATTCATCTTGCAGACCTCAGCTTTGAAGTCATTTGCTTTAGGAAGACTATTGTGCAGTAACTTCTAATCTAGGTATGGTTTTCCTAGTTGTTTGGTATTATACTACCTCTTCGTAGCTCTTGGCCGACTTGACTATAATTGCTTTTAAAAATATTCTTTCTTTCCTAGTAGACACTAAGACCTGTGATGGTAAGAATCCAGTCGGCTGGGTTTGGCATAGAAAATCACTTAATAAATATTGGGTTAATAAATGTTGAATGGATTTTCAAAGCAGAAATGGTTAAATGTAGATTTCTATCCTGGTGATATGCTTATGTGGGAAAAACTTATATTAAGAAATACACTGAAAAACTACTCTAGAGGAGAAATTGGTAAGAAGTGTGTTTATCTTGTATTCTACCAATGGGGAGGTATGGAAACTTCACAAATAAAGCAGTAAGATGAGCAGGTGACCTTGCACCTAGATAATTACATGAAATAGAGAGTATAGCATCTTCTCTATAATGATACAAATGGCAAGAGAATATTGAGAGCTATAGCAAAAGAGGGAAAATTGTAGCTGAATATTCTCTCTAGAACTCAGGGAATGTATGATCTTGAAATAAATCACTTAATCTCTTGATGTCTCATTTTAACTATTGAGTATATAATGAATGATTATTCTTTACTGCATGGGGTATTGTGAGACTTAATTTGCTAATGTTTATAAAGTGCTTCAGATTGTCTGATTAAAAGTATGAAGTATCATCATTATTATACTATAAAAGAGTATGTAAAATTTTATTTTAATTTCATAAATATGAAATTATACCTTGCTACTTTCACTTAAAATATTCTGAAATTCATACACACAGATTGGTGCATGTTTGAATCTAGGTCTCCAGGCATTCACGTTAGCTGCTCTTATTTCTGACTATAGACCTTGTCTGCATTTCTGTTGTCCAGAAAGTTTACGAGACTTTGGCTGAAACTGACTTGAAAGGGCATACTCCTTTTTTGTTAAACTACAGTCCACATAAATTGAGAGTGCTGTATTATGATTGCTTTCTCTTTCATTTCAACCTTTCCTGCTTTGGCTAATTATTTTCTCATTTCTAAATGTGATTAATTTTCTATAGAAGGCAATATTCTTCCTAACCTGCAAATACCTTCTCACTACAATTTTGCACCTGGTTAAAGAAAGTTCACAGGTTGAATTACTTTTCCTTGAGGCACTTTCCTGGAGCTCCACGTCCTGGTTTCTCTGGCCAGGTTTCTGCCCAGCCTGCTGCAGACCCTGGAAGTGTATGCCAGTCCTGGGGCGCTTCTTTGATTTTTAAAATTCATTTTGCCTTCACGTTTCTGGGTTTACTACCTGTTCCTCCAGAATATTACTTAGAAATAGGTACACAAGGTGAAGTTTTGGTAATATTGCCTGTGTAGAAATGTCATTATTTTATCCAAACAGTTGACTGACAGTTTGAATACACAATTCCAGCATGAAATAATATTCAATCCAAAGGTTATGCTATTTCTCCATTTTGTTCTAGTTTCAAATATTGCCACTTTTATTTCTGATCTTTCATATTTTTTCCTTCTAAAAGATTTAGGATCTTTTTATTCTCAATGTGTGAGCCTGAACGATGATGCATACGGGTGACATTTTTTCATTTATTGTGTCTGGCACTTGATCTGGCTACTCGTGTCCTTTGGTTATTTGAATCTTATGTATAGTTTCTTTGAATTCTTGCTCTGTATTTTCTTTCTGAAAATTTCATTACTGGATACTTGGAACCTCTGGACTTATTCTCTTATTTTCTTATCTCACCTCTTATTTATTCCATCACTTCATCTTTTCTATTTATTATGAGAACTTAATCATGGTTTTCAGCTCTAACTTTTAAAAAGAAATTTTTTTACTTTATCTTGAATATACAAGAAATATACATGTTTATCTCTGGTTGTTTCTCTATTATGATATTCTGTCTTTATTTCATGTTTGAAAGAACTTTTAAAAAAATTGTAAATAGATATGTGTATATGCATTGTATGTACACAAATATATACATGTATTTTGTGTATACACACATATGAATGATATATACTTTATATGTTATATATCAATGGTGCTCAAATATTTTGGTCTTAAGAACCCAAATACCCAAAATTCTTAAGGATGTCAAAAAGCTTTTATTTATGTAGGTTATATACATTTATATTTAATATATTAGAAATTAATTATTAGAAATTGAAGCTGAGCAGTATGTAAAACATTTATTCATTTAAACATAATAACAAACCCATTACATGCTAGCATAAATATTACTTCTAAAATTTAACTATATTTTCTAACACAAAAAGAATATCATGAGAAGAGTAACTTTTTGAATATATACATTTTTTTAACATCTCTTGAATATCTGGCTTAACAGAAAAGGGCTGGATTCTCATAGCTATTTCTATATTCAATTTGTTGTGATATCACATATTGTATTGCCTCTGAAAAACTCCTCTATACACCCAGGAGAGTATGAGAGTGAATAAGAAAAGAATATCTTAGTATTATTATGAAAATAGTTTTGACCTTGCAGGCTCCCTGAAAGGGCCTCAGGGACTCCCTAGGATCTCTGGACCACACAGTTTAGGATCTGAAGCTGTTTGTACAAACACATGTGCGTGGACACATGCCCTTCTAAAAAAGTTATCTAGTCTTCATTTTCTTTTGTTTTATTTTTTTTTCCATTTTTTTTTAAAAGGCTTTTGTTTGTTTTGTTTTGGTCTCTCTTTTTCATTAGAGACTTCTCAAATTTGGTAGCAGTTGCCTGACAGCCCACATTTAAGAATAAAATAGTAATCGAACACTGTGTTTAGAGAAAGAATTTTCAAGGAGTGAGTTCATTCTGGGGAAGTGATTCTCAATCCCATTTAAACATAATGCTCAATTTTTTTTAAAAAAAAAAGGAAGGCAAATATTTTATAAATCTGTACTTATTACCCTGGGATGTAAATTATAGCATACTCTAACATATCAACACATATAATTTCACCAATAACAATATCACACCATAGTTGTAATGTAAAAAAGAAGTAAGCAGAAAGTGACTTACAATAAAATAATATGTATTTCGATTTGTAAATCATCAGGCATAACTACTTTACACTTTACTGTGGATATAATGAAATAGATGCTTGCATATACATGTAGAATCTCTGTGTGGGTGGCAGCTATAAATATAGACTGATATAGGTGTGCTGGTGCTTAATATTGACATCTTAAATATCATGAGTAGCATTGCTATTTTTTAAAAATAAATCCTACTGTGTATATTTATGGTCAATATGATGTTATGGGATACATACAGATGGCAAAATGATTCCTATAGTGAAACAATTTAACATATCCATTATCTCCCATAGTTAGCCATTTCTTTTTTTTTCTTTTTTGGCAAAAGCAGCTAAAACCTACTCATTTAGTATGAATCCCATATACACTACAATTTTATTACCTACATTCCACCATGTCGTACATTGGATCTTTAGACTTGTTCTTCCTGCATATTTGCTACTTACTTTACATCCTTTGACCTATATTTCCCTATTTCCTGCCCCGACTTTGACCCTACTAACCACTGTTTTACTCTCTATTTCTGTATATTTGACCTTTTTTGTTTGTTTGTTTAGATTCTACACATAAATGAGATCACATGAGATCACGGAGTATTTTTCTCTCCATGTCTGGTTTATTTTACTTAGCATAAATTGTCAATCTTGTTGTGACAAACAGCAGGATCGCCTCCTTTTTGAAGGCTGAATAATATTTCACTATATGAATAAACACCACAGTTTCTTTATTCATTTGCCTTTAGATATTCATTATGTTAAATGAAAACAACCTAGGTTGTTTTCATAGCTTGGCTATTGTGAATAATAATGCAATAAACATGGGAGTGCAAATATCTTTACAAAGTGGTGATTTCATTTCATTTGGGTATATACCCAGGAGAGACAATGTAGCATTGTTCGTGTGATATGATTTTATGAAATGGTGACAAACTCTTGGTTCAACTCAAAAACAAACAATACACAATCTTTCTTCAATTTAAAAATTGCAATCTTAAAAAATGTAGTCTATGTTAAGGATATGTCAACATATATATTTTATATGTCAAAATCTGTATGTTTATATGTCAAATGCAGTTAGCTCTTAGATTCATATAACTTATTTTCTACATTATTGTCTACTTTGCTATCAGAAAGTCTTTAGAGATGGAATAACTCTTCGTTGTGGAAAAACTCTTCATTGTGAGGAGTTTTGTACATGAGAGAATGTCTAGCATCAGAGACTCCTACCTATTTAATGCAGCAGTGCTCCCCCAAACATCACGGCACCCTACCATTTCCAAATCACCACTCCCTCAAGAATCCCTGCTCTGGAGTAATCAGATCAAGAGTCTCAATGTTGTTTGGAGAACTTCAAAGATTGGTTCACCCGTCTGTTGTTGTTGTTGTTGTTTTAATCAACCCCTCTCACTCTGACTACTTTTGGTCTTGGCCCTGAAACTCTCTGGTTCCATGTCTGGGGAGAATGGGGGATAACGGTGGGCTGACTGTCTGGGTAGAGATTAATGCTTGGGAGACTGGATACCTGCAAAGTAATTAGGACCTACTGAAGAGTCCAGCTGCTGCTTGTATAAACTCTCAACCAGTTCTCAGGCTACAAACCATTAGAACCCTTGGGTTTCGTTATACCTGATATTTTTCAACATTCTACAGGGAAACTGGGCTTGCTTCTCTCCACTCTCTTCTCTGTATATACATAGGTTTCAGCATTCTCTTGTCTACTTAGCCAGTTAGCACCCTTATGTTTACTTTTATATTCCAAAAATTCGTTGGCCCCTCTCATTTGCTATTGTCTTTTCCCTGAGCACCTCCTTAATGTTTTTAAGATTTTTATTAGTTTAGACTTTTGGAAGGTAGTGAAGTTTAAGGAACAGTGTCCAATCAACCATATTGAATTGGAAGTCCCAAGTATTAATTTTGTAATGATAAAAATCAATACTGTTAAGGCTTAGCTGAGACAAAGCATTTATGAAAAAGGAAGCCTGAGGGAGTTATAAATTATTTCTCAGTATTTTCTGTACTTTAGCATCACAAAGCTGTATGTCTGAACCACATCATCATAGTGTGTATCTAAAAGTGATAAAAGACAACAGCCCTCCATGGAATGAATGTCTCTGCATGTCCTAAAAACTGCTCTCATGGCACTAATTCCTTATCTTGATTATTGTTTACTTAATTTTTCTTTAACTCAGGGTCAAGAAAACTTTGTACTGGTAGTAAGAAACTTACAATTTTTCTTGTTTTACTTGTTTTTTGTTCTGGAGAAAGAATGTTTAAAGGTTAGTGTTAAATTCAGTTTCTATATCTTTAATAAATATGAATATTTCAAAATGGGAGTACGCCCTTTACTTTTACCCTTTATGTTTTGTAGACTTTCATCTTTATAAAAACACTTTGGTAGGTGGCAATTCAAGTAAAAAAATACAAATAATATATAAGTAGAATTCTGAAATAGAATTCCGTGTTAAAAGACAAGTAAACAGAATGTTTTTAAAGTTAAAAATATTCTCATTACACTTGCTAATTGTACATAAATGAGATACAATTAATTCTACTGATAATAGGGCATCTTGCTATTTGTTGAGTGATCTTTGTACTTTCACCTCCCTTAGCTTCTTTAATCATTCCCTGCTCAGGTTAGAGGTAAAATAGCTACAATTAATTCGGACCTCAGCAACTTCCTTCTTTTTTTGGGTGCAGTCTATGCTATACTCTGTCTCTGAATTTTGCACCCTACTTCCAGCTATTTAGATGCTTTGTGGAGTTAGTGGGAGGTATGTATGTTTTAACACTCTACATGACTCTAGTAGCAAATAGAGAAATAAGGTGTTTTTACATGTACGGTACACCATACTGGCTGAAAAATGTAGTAAAATGTAAGAAGAAAAAAATATAGTGGCACAAAAACTTTGTTGATCCTAAAATAAGTAGAATCATGGAATACCATAAATGCTCTTCCACTTAATGGATGATTTTTGGCAAGAAAGGTACTCACTCTTTAGTTCTTTTCTAGTTGATTTAGAAAGAAACACATGTGAAATTAGACATGTCTCGCACTCATATATCTTTATCTAAAATCAAGAAAATGTGGTTCCTTTATGAAGTACTTCATTACAGCAATAATGTACTTTGCTGTTTTACATACATTATTTTTTGATCTACATAGTGCCAATGCAATCTAGAATAACCTTTCAAATATTAGTCAATACATAATTTGGCCTATGTTATATGTGAAAAAATAAGGAATGTAATGCTTTTTATCAAATTGTCTATCATTAGAAACAAAAGAAAACAAAAGCGCTTGAATTGAATGAATGCATTTGAATTAAGTAAACTTTTGCTTTTGCAAGTAGAAATCTATGTCTCTTTAATGTTGTTCGTAACTTTCTGCTTTAGTCACTGAAGTTATAATAACCACATAATGCTACCCTTTAATCTTGTATCCTGCCTAAGACTTTAGGAAAAACTTTTATTTCTGGAAAAAGAAGTTATGAGACTGAAAGCATTATTAAAGCAGTTTTTTTCTTATGTTAACATTTTCCCAACTAATAAGGGTTCTCTCTTGTTACGATGTGAAAGTAACACACACGGGTATCAACGCACTTTCTCCAGAGCTATTTTACCCATGAGAGATCTCTCCAGTAAAACTGAAATCACCTCAATTATTCCAACACAAGAAGTGTAATGTGGTGAATTGATTTAAAAGTGAGGGAAGAGATGAAAAGCCAAATAGAAAATGGTAAGACCATCTACAGGTTAGGAACAGAAGCCACCACCAAGCATTAAAGGGAAGACATGGTGTTAGAGCCTAGGGACAAGGTTCACCTGCAACGGCTTCAACAGTGGGTTTGTCTGGCAGGAGCAGGAACCACTGAGATGCAGGTGCTGCTAGAGACACTTCTGGCAGAGAGAAAGGAGGAAAATCCTGCCTTCTCCTTTCCTTCTACTCACCACTATTCAGCCAAGGATGCTCATTGACCGAATTTAACTAGAAACCAGCTCATGTGGAATCCTGGGAAAAAAACCTGTAGATGCCAGCCTTCCCATGATGCAGAGTCCAGTGAGGGGACAGTGAGAAAGATCTTCCTAGGAGTTGGTCCAGGATCAGTACCAGCCATTCCTTCTACTACTGAGCATGGATTCTGATCTTTCTACCCACACTTGCATTTCATACAACTGTCATAATTTAGCATAAATGGGTCAATAAAAAATGACTTACTGCCCTGTCATAAAGAGAAAGCTGCTGTCAACTTCTCCGAGGGAAATCAAAACTCATCCACTCTTTGACCCTCTAATAACATTCTTGTTGGACAGCCCAAATCTCTTGGCATCTCATGATTACTCTTTACAAAGGTCTACTAGGGGCCAGAAGTTGCTTCTAAGAAGAAGAGCATTTACAACAAAAGGAGGCTGTAACTTGACTCCAGAATCTTAGGAGTGTGCATTGTGATTCTCCTTTTGAGGCTTACCAGAGGATCCACTTAACATCTTTATCGAATGCCAAACGTTGAGCATTATTGGTATCTGCTAAATCATAAGGTTTACGTGGCAAGGCAGCTTGTATGCTTGAATCTGCTGGAGTGCTTTCTCCTACTCTGGGATCAATTTAAAAGTAGCAAAAGTAGAAATCTTATAGCTTATTTAATAAACGGATTAAGGATACAGACAAAAATGTGATGTGTATTGTTAAGAACCAGCAACACATCATACTTTATTCCCCTATGATCAAGTACATTTGATGCACTGGTTCTTTCAGAAATTTTAGTTACCAACTCTAGATACTGGATTGTGATAGATTGCATTAGTATTCCCAATTCATCTCCCCTCTCTGTAGGCTTGTCCTTTGCCAAGTAGGTTTTGCAAATAAGATTATTTTTTATTTTTTTATTTTTATTTTTTATTGAGACAGATTCTTGCTCTGTCACCCAGGCTGGGGTGGAGTGGCACGATCTCAGCTCACTGCAGCCTCTGCCACCTGGGTTCAAGCAATTCTTGTGCCTCGGCCTCCCAAGTAGCTGAGATTACAGGCATGCACCACACCCAGCTAATTTTTGTATTTTTAGTAGAGATGGGATTTCGCCATGTTGGCCAGGCTAATCTCGAACTCCTGGCCTCAAGTGATCTGCCTGCCTCGGCCTCCCAAAGTGCAGAGATTACAGGCGTGAGTCACTGCACCGGCCAAGAGTGTACTTCTAAAGGAAGATCCTACTACCTTTACTCTTTCAGGTCCTCCCCCAAAAAGTTCACTCTGCAAATCTTCAACACAGACTTTGTTTCTCTGGGAAGTCAATGTAAGACAGCTGGCGTGAAGAGTTGTTTAAGGAAGAAAACCATAAAACAAGATGTTGGAGGTGGAGCACTGGAGAGAGATAGAACACATGCTGTAGCAGTGCAGTTGCTGGAAAAACATGGATGAGAAAACAGTGAAGGAGGACTCATTGGTGAGCAAAATGTCTCCAGATTTTGAGAGAGTGAAGGGAGCAGTAATTACAAGAACAATGGAATCTGAGGTCCTTTCTGAAGGTCAGTGAGATTTAGGGTCATTCAAAAAAGACAGCAAAGGTTGTGGATGACCATTTAGCAATTGAAGGAGAGGCATGGAAGTCAGAAGGCCTCCTTAGTGGTATATAAAGGTATTCATCTGAAACCGGAGTACAGCAAGGTGAGGAAAAAGCTTGGGAATTAACTGTAACAGTGGCAGAGCTCCAAAGAAGGTTGAATTCTCAGCCCTGGAAAGTCTGCTAACTATGGTGGGGGAAGAGTGGGGTCTTGAAAATTCACCCTTCTTTGATAATTGGCCCTGAGAATTGTGATTACAATATTTTAGTCAATGCAATCATAAACCTTGATTTTCAAGATCTCCCCAAACCATTTGTGTTTTAGAAGTCGCTCACTGGTTCATATTAAAGGTCAACTTTCCCTTCAATCTACCTTGCTTGAGGCAGTTGCAGGGGACTCTGCTTTGCAAGAAAATCAGTGCTTCCCATCTCAGGATCTACCTGCATTCACCTCCCTCCTTGGTTACCAGACCAATAAGTAGGGTTAAAGTACTGTATAATTCAGGTGAGAAAGTACTGGGATTATTAAGGGTAGAAAGGAACTTCAAAGGAGTTGTAGAACCTAATCAACATGTATTAGCAGAAGCTGGGAGAGCACATGGGCTGGATCCTGAGGATGCAAGATTGAGGAAGCATGGGCAGAAACAGTTAAACTGTATAGCATTGACTGGGTCACGTTGCTAGTCAGGGAGGAAACTGTTAGTGGAGCCCGGAAAAAATGAGGAGGGTATAAAAGGCAATATCAGCTCTTGAAATCTGGTTGCAAAACATTTGTCAAAGCTATGGCCTAAGATAATCTAGAGCATAGAAAATGTACCTGATCTAAAGTAATGCAGGGGGACAATTTATCAAAGCTAAATGTTGAAAGCATGACTCTGGTCATACTGCAATTGATTAGTTATGATAAGAAATTGATGAGTTCAGAAGAGAAGGAGCTCGTTTTTAAGTATAATGTACAAGTCCTATAGAAAGACCAGAAATAGGAGGTTGAAAAATGAAATTGTTAACATCAATTTAAAAGTAAGGCCACTAAAATGCAGTCTTTAGGAAAAGGCCAATCTAGTGAGGCATGGCTTCAAGACAAAGGCCAAATCATGGGTGTGGCAATGAATTGAGAGAAAAAGGAAACTAAAAGTATACTTCAGATTAAAGAGCTGGTGTGATTAGAATGAGTGAAAACCAGAAGGACACAAGAGTTGGTTCACTCCTCATTGCCCTCATTATCAAATACAACCTTCTTAATATCACTTATAATGCGCATCATCAACTTGTCTAGCTTAGTTCTCTAGCTTCATCTCAGCATTTTTTCTTCAAACTTTATGTTCCAGATATACTGAACTACCTGAAATTTCCTGTGCCATTCTTTTTCCTTCATCTGAGCCTCTGCACTGACTTTGGACCATTATTTATCCATCTTCCATTTGCCCCCCCAACTTTCTTTAACACCATTTTTTTCAACTTTTTGATTCACGGTTTACATGGGTAAGTTTGTTACCTGGGTATATTGTATGATGCTGAGATCTGAGGTGATGATCCCATCACTTAGGTAGTGAGCATAGTACCCAATACTTTTTTAACCCTTGGCTTTCTCCCTACCTCCCACACATAGGCCCCCAGTTTCTATTGATACCATTTGTATGTCCATGAGTGCCTAGTGGTCCGCTCCCACTTACAAGTGAGAACATGAGGTATTTGGTTTTCTCTTTCTTTCTTTCTTTCTTTCTTTCTTTCTTTCTTTCTTTTTTTTTTGAGATGGAGTCTTGCTCTGTCACCCAGGCTGGAGTGCAGTGGCACGATCTCGGCTCACTGCAAGCTCCACCTCCCGGGTTCATGCCATTCTCCTGCCTCAGCTTCCCGAGTAGCTGGGACTCCAGGTGCCTGCCGCCACGCCCAGCTAATTTTTTGTATTTTTAGTAGAGATGGAATTTCACCGTGTTAGCCAGGATGGTCTCCATCTCCTGACCTCGTGATCTGCCCGCCTTGGCCTCCCAAAGTGCTGGAATTACAGGCATGAGCCACCGCGCCTAGCCTTTGGTTTTCTGTTTCTACATTAATTCACTTAGGATAATGGCTTCCAGGTACATCCATGTTGTTGCCATGCACCCTTTCTTATGGTTGCATAGTATTCCATGGTTTATGTACACCACACTTTATTTATCCAATCTACTCTTGATGGGCCCCTAGGTTGATTCCATGTCTTTGTGATTGTGAAAAGTGCCACGATGAACACGTGAGTGAATGCATGTTTCTTTTGGTTTAGCACCATTTGTTATTGTCCTACACATATCTGCTTAAATCAGAGTGATGGCAAGTGGATTTCACAATCTATGACAAGTCTAATAAACTGGCCATGCCTTCCCAAAGGACTAAGCAAAGTAGGGTAAGAACAAGTCTAGGGTCTATTGGACTAGCAATGTCCAACAGTTTGGGAGAATGCTGGTATATATATCATGCATTGTCCAACTATTCTTGCCTACCCACTACTCCTTCTCATAATTTTCCCTGATGCTATCTTAAAAACTGTACTTTTCTTATGTGTTTGTGTACTATACTTTGCTTATTTCTATCATACTATTTGTGTTGCATTATATTTTCTGTTACCTTGTACATTGTCCCACTAGTCAGCATTTTACTTATAAAAAGATAGCATCTTGTATGTTGGTAAATCTCTAGTGTCTGACACAGTGCTTTGCACATAGAAGTCAGTACATGAAACGCTTGTTAACTTAAAAATAAGTTGCCAAATTTGAAGGACTTAAGAAATAATGAAGCTTTGTTGCTGGATGTGTTGTCTATATATAATAAATATCGTCTAGGTCAGGGGTCCCCACCCCCAAGCCATGGACCTGTACTGATGTGTGACCTGTTAGAAACTGGCTGCACAGCAGGAGGTGAGTGACGGGTGAGCAAGCATGATGGCCTGAGCTCCGCCTCCTGTCAGATCAGCTGCGGCATTATATTCTCATGGAAGTGCGAACGCTAATGTGAACTGTTCATGCTAGGGATCTAGGTTGCATGCTCCTTATGAGAATCTTAACTAGTGCCTGATGATCTGAGATGGAACAGTTTCATCCTGAAACCACACCCCTGCCAATCCCTCCATGGAAAAATTGTCTTCCACGAAACCAGTCCCTAGTGCACAAAAGGTTGGGGGCGACTGACCTAGGTAATCAGAAAATTAGTTTATAGTCAACTTGTAGAGATCTAACATATGTAGAGTGTAAGCACCCAGGAATGGATCATTGGATCTTTTTATGCCTCTAAATATATTTGCCTAGTGCCTTAAAAGCAGCAAGCTTAAGTAGCTTAGAGTTGTATTTTGGTACCATTTTCTCCAATTTATACATAGGTAAGACCCTTAGAAGGTCAGTTCTGGTGCGGATCATATAGGTGATGCCATTCCGTGAGGGCTAAAAAAATGTCAGCTTTCCAACCACATATCCTCCCTTCTTTCTTCCTCTCTGCACTTATACCATAGCCCTAAATTAAAATATTTTGAACAAGTAACTAGCAATGATTTAGAAGTCATGATGCTATTTCCATTTTTTCCTTTTCTGATAAGCTGCAAAAAACCCATTAGCTTTATTAAATTAATTTAATTTAATTTATTATTATGAATAATTTAAACAAATTAAAAATTAAGTTCACAGTAAGGACTGGATTAGTTAAAAAAATTAGCTAGCTGACTTATTAATTGCCACCTCGATTTCTTTTTTTTTTCTGTTTCTGCAATTTAAATTAAAGCCTCTTGAATCATTCTAATAGTTCTGTCGTGTTCTAGATACCAAAAATGTGTTCATGTAGACATCTTTGTTTTCACTCATTCATTCATTTAATGATAATTTTTGAATGCCTATCACAGTCCAACCACACTTCTAAGTGCTGGGATACAGAGATAAACAAAACAAAGTCTCTGCTTTCATGGAATTACATTCTAGAGGCAAGACATATGAAATAAATTAACAAATCTGTATTACAAGTGGTGAAATGACTTGAAAAATTCTATGATCTACAGAGTGATTGCAGATGTCTCAGAAGAGGCGATTTGAACACAGACATCACGAACATGAAGAAGTGAGAACCATGAAGGTAATTTAGCAAAGTAAGTTAGATGTTAACTTTTAGTATTTTAACCTGAGTAATTTGATTAACTTGGGTTCATCCTATGAGGCCAATTAATAAAATGATGTTAGCATTGTTATTACATGGTGTCCGGCATTATAACATACACCAGGAAAACCATGAGTTTGCATAGACATTCATGTTTCTTATTAGAATGTTAATGACAAAGAAAGTCATACTTCAGTTATTAAATATTTAGCAGATATTTTTAAAATTCAACACATATTTGTTGAATTCTTGTGTGTGGAGAAGTATAAACATTGAATTAAAAGACAAAGAGAGTAAAGAAAAGTCCCTGATGTCAAGAAAGTAACAAAATGAACAGAAAGTCTGACACATGAATACAAATAATTATAAAAATAATATGAATAGATGGACAGAAAATGCTGTGTGGATTTAAAGAAGAAAATAGGCACATTAAATAAAAAATAATAATAATAATCACAGTAATTGTGCTACTACTACTACTAACCTCTACAGATTATTCTATTTTTATTTGCTGTTGACAGATGAAAGAAGAATTGCCATTTGGCTAATGGACAAAAGTAATCCCTGACCTGTTGAGGTAGGTTGTCCATGGGTCTCTAGTACAATTAGGCCCTGCTATTTGCATTAAGATAGCCCAATAAAGAATCCAAAGTCTAGAGACTTTGTGACTGTCCACTTTGAAGTGATGGAGTAAGTATACAAACTGACTCTGTTTGAAACCAGAACAGAAACTCTATACTTTGGGAGGTAATTTTTGAAAAGCTTTGTATTTGATATAATAAAGAATATGAAAGGAGAAAAACCTAGACAAAGTTTTAGAAAAAAGGAGAAAAATCAAGCAGTAAGAGATGAGAAAGTATGAGGATTGCTTATAGATCCTAAAATGCCTTTGCTTGGTTTGAGTGAAGCAAGGAAGAGGTAGATAACATTGAGAAGCTTTGTAAAAATATTTTTTTAAACTCAATTTAATAAGCATTAGGGCAAGTCAATGCAAGATTTTGAGGTAGAGTTTTGACAAAACAGGAACTTTCTTTTGTGAAACTGTATTGTGAATAGGATAGATTAGTAAAAGAAGATATTAAAGGCAAGATGATCAATAACAAATGCCATATTGGAGTAGAGCAGTATTTTTTTCTGACACAAAATTAGGGAATTTTATTTTGGCTTTGAGGAAAAGTATATTAGGAATGGGTGACAACTCTTAAATGTAAAAACAGATTGCCAACCTCTCTGTGTTCATTTTGTAATTTATGATCATATTGAAATGGCTTTTATTTTTAGTTTCATCCAAGTCTAAGAGTTAGACGGTTCCATTAGTTTAACTGCTAGGTGAAATCATTCTAAAATGTCCTTATCCAAGTCTCAAACTGTTAAATATTCCAGGTGTTTAAGAGCAAGCCTATGATAACTACACTTTTATCCTCCATGATTTCCAAAATACTGCTCTATGATTGCCTTCCCCATTCTCTTCCTTTTATATTCCTTTTGCAGGCTAAGAGAATCTTGTTTGTTTTCTTTATGGCTTTTACTTTTTGATTTGTTTTGTGCTTTCCAAATTTGGTTAATCAGAGCTCCATAATCCTTCACTCATTGTATTTGTCATCTTAACAATTTCAACACCATGAAAATCCCAATGCCATCTGGAAATGTGCAGATATTAATATTAGATAATGTTCTTCAATTTTAATGCCAGTTTCTGAGGTTACAACATCAATCCATCCATTTTTTGATCAACCATATTTATTGAGAGCCTATTATATTATCAACCACATTGAGGTACAAAGGTAAATAAAATGCCCGTGGCAGAGAGTTACTGTGTAGAGGAGATAGACAAACATAAATTCCTGTAATATGCTATTAATATAAATGTTATGATTAGGAATGAACAAAATGCTGAGTGCATATAGGCATGGAAATGCCAGATTCTCCCAGGATATGCTAGCAAAGACTTTGCAGAGGAGGTGGCCTGATCTTAAAATATGAGGGTAAATTCATGAAGCAGAAGGGTAGAATAGGATACATGCTGGAGAAACAATGTGTAACTGTATAAAGGTGTTGGGACATAAAAAATAAAGGAGAATTTGGAAATGGTAAAAATTTCAGTGTGAATGCAACATGGAGATCCTGGAAAGGTTTGTCCTGGGGAGAAGTTGAAGAAGATATGGCTCGACTGAGGAGGTTACAGTTTGCTTGGATTTAATCCTTGCTAATGCAGAATTAATAGACATTTCAATGGTAGAGTGATGTGATCATATTTTTTTTAAAGGGAGATAACTTTGGAATCCATTTGGAAACTTAATTAAGTATAAGAGATTAGTGAAAGTATATCAATTAGGAAGCTATTGGAATATAAAAGATCATGAGGATCTTAAGGGAGACGGTTCAAGTGTGGGAGGGGAGAGGAAAAGAAAAAATACAAAGACAGAGTTTCATTACCACTTGAATACAGAGAGAACAAGAGAGCAAAATTTCTAGGCTGTTTCTGGAATTTTAATGTTGAAGGAGATGGTTTAGATGTTACTGCTTTAACCAACACAAAAGAGTGAGCATAGTGTATTATGAGTAGAAAAAGTGAACTTTCACTGGACACATTGTGTTTGAAAAGTTTGTATGAAGGAGACACATATAGGTAGTCAGAAATAAATAGCTCTAAGTTGGAGCTTGATAGAGATTTTAGAGCTATCAGCAAGCATCACGGTCAAAGCAGGAAAACTTGGTTGAGAGCACTGATGGAAAGCAGTATGTATATATTGTTAGCTTATATTATTTCCTATTTCATAATTAGTGCCAAACCTATGATTAAAATTCTTCCCTAATATCTAGTTGACTTTATTAAAAATTTTAACAAGTAGTGATAATTTTAGTCAATAATTTTTAAGTGTAAATAAATAACTTCACTGGGTATCTTCATTTACAGACATGTTTCTTCAAAGATTTCTAAGGATTGTATATAATAACTTCCTCTTTCAGAACCATAATATCTTCTGTGAATGAAGTTAACTGCTTATGTATTCAATTACAATACCCTTGATTTCCTAACTTTCCACTTTCAACAAAATTTTTTAATATAAATATGAAACCTCCAGTTTGTAATTTGTGGTGTTCTCTGAAAATCTTTTTATTCATGGCTCAACAGGAAATGTATGTCTTTCAAAGTGTGTTTTTTTTAATATTAGTTTTTTACCTTACACTAATCCACACTTACAGTTTAACCCAGCTCCCCTTAGAGCAATGACACACACAATATAGTTGGCTTGAATAAAATGTTCTAACCCCAATACTGAACAAACTTTAACTAACAGAATTATGGGGGAGTTATAAATATCACTTTACCTTTATTTATGTCTTTCTCCAAGCAATTGATTGTCAATATAGTCAGTAATGCACTGATTAAGTACCATAGACTTGGGATATCTGACTCCACTACTTACTACTTAGGTAATCTGGAAATGTTAGTTATTCAGCCTCTCTCTGAGCATCAGTTTGTTACATGCAAATATGGATATTATGTGAGACACCCATATAAAACCATATTTTATTTAGAAGTTACTTTATTTGGTTATTTAGGAGTAAATGGATTATTTCAAAGCCTTTTCTATATTTTTTCATATGGGTTTCTACAAAAACTCCACTGTGGGCTTGCTTAATGGTCCACCATATTGTCAGCTCTAGTAAATATCTCATATGTACCCGAAAGGAATATGTTTTCTGTCATTTGGGGGTTCAAGGTTTTTCATTTGTATCTTAGGTTTAATGAAATTATTTTTTTAATTATACTTTAAGTTCTAGGGTACATGTGCATGTAATTATGTTCTTTAGCCTTCTTTATTTTTTAAATTGAGATGAAAATCTTATAGCATACAATTAACCATTTAAAACTGTACAATGTAGTGGTATAATATTTAGTGTATTCACAATGTTGTACAGCCACCACCTTTTTCAATTTTAAAAATCCTTTATCACTCCAAAAAAACACCCAGAACACATTAAGTTATTATTTACTATTCTACCTCCTTTCATTTCCTGGTAATGATTAATCTGCTTTCCATTATTATAAATTTGCCCATTCTGAATATTTCATAGGAACGGAATCCTAAAAACTATGACTTTTTGTGTCTGAACTCTTTCAATTCAAAGAATGTTTTAAATTTCATGCAAATAGTAGCATGTATCAGCACTTCATTCATTTTTTATGACTTAATAATATTTCATTATATGTATATACCCCAGTTTTTCCTTTCACTCATTAATATGCACTTGGCTATTATGAATATGCTGCCCAAAACATGTGTGTATAGTGTTGAACAAATAAGGAATGTCAATAAAGTGATAAATATTATAAAAGGGAACCAAGTAGATATTCCGGAGATAAAAAGTACAAGGGCTAAAAAATTCACTGGTATGGTTTAATGGCATATTTGAACAGGCAGAAAAAAGAATCAGTGAATGTGAAGATATGGCAAGTGAATTTATCCAGTTTTAAGAGTAGAAAGAAAAAATAAAAGAAAGAAAAATAAAGCCTAAGTGAACCGTGGAACACCATTGAGCATACCAACATACGCGTCATGGGATTTCCAGGAGAAGAAGATAGAAAGAAAGGATTAGAAAAAAGTGTTTGAAGAAATTATGGCTAAAATTTTCCTAATTTGATAACAGATGTATCTATCCATCAGTCCATCCAGGAATCTCAATAAACTCCAAGCAGGATAAATTCAAAGAGATTAACACTGAGAGACATTATAGTTAAATTGTCAAAGGTGCAAGACAAGGAGAAAATTTTGAAAGCAGCAGGAAAAAAGTAACTCACTTTTTTTTCCTCCTTCCTTCCTTCCTTCCTTCCTTCCTTCCTTTCTTCTTTCCTTCCTTTTTTTCTTTTTTGTCTTGCTCTGTTGCTCTGTAGCTCTGGCTGGAATACAATGGCATGATCTCAGCTCACTGCAATTTCCGTCTCCCAGGTTCAAGCAATTCACCTGACTCAACCTCCTGAGTAGCTGGTACCACAGGTGTGCACCACCATACCTGACTAATTTTTGCATTTTTAGTAGAGACAGGGCTTCACCATGTTGGCCAGGCTGGTCTCAAACTCTAGACCTCAAGTGATCTGCTCACCTCAGCCTTCCAAAATGCTGGGATTACAGGCATGAGCCACTGCACCTGGCCTCAGACATAACTCATTTTATACAAGGGAGCATCTATAAGATTTTCATCTGGTTTTTGTTTGTTTGTTTTTTATCTGAAATCATGGAAGCCAGAAGGCAGTGGGATGACATGTTTAAAATCCTGAAAGAAAAACAAATGTGTTAACCAAGAATTCTATATCTCCAAAACTATCTTTCAAGAATGAAAGATAAATTAAGACATAACCAGATATGCAAAGTCTAAAGGAGTTTGCTACAAATAGACTTGCCCTATAGAAATTGCTAAAGATCATCCCTCAAGATGAAATGAAGTGGCAGTCATTGCTTGAAGCCATGTGACAAAACAAAGAACATTGGTAAAAGTAACTACATTGGTAAACATGAAAACCAGCATTATTGTACTTATTGTATTTTGGTTTGTAATTTCTTTTTTTCAATA